CGCGTGTATTTTAATGCGTGTGTTCAAATTGTTTTTCTTCAATAGGTATCGTATAGGCAAATTTGCATTTAGTAATTTTCGAAAAAACAAAAAAAAGAACAAAACCAAAGAAAATTGTGTGTATTTTGTCTTTCGAAGAAAAAAATATATGTATATATATTTTTTTGCTTATTTGAAAAGAAAAAAAAACAAAACAGTTTTTTTTTTTTTTGGATAATTCAATAAAATGTATTGAACTTATGGATGTTTAATAAGCGTTCAGATGTATTAGAAAAAGAATAACATTCTGTTTTTTGCTATATTCTTTCTTTCTTTTTTCTTTTCAAACTTTTTAAATGTTACTTATTGGTGATAATAATAATAATAATTGGTAATCAAACTAGTTTCATTTTTTGCCAGAAATTTTAACCCTTTGATTAGTAGCTTTTTGTAAGATTAGCTCTTTTTTTTTTGTTTTTTGTCTTTAATTCTTCCTTTCTTTCCGCTTCTTCTGCCTCTTAAATTATTTCATTTTCAACATTCCGTTACTTTTTCCTCTCATCTCTTTTTTCTTTTTTTTTTTTTTACCTGATAGATAAATTCATGAAAATTAGACTACCGAATTCAGGAGAGGAGAGAAGGGTGGTGAAGGGAAAGAGCTGTTCTCAGTTCAGTTTTTACTTCTTCATCGTTCTTTTTTTTTGTCTTTTCCCTTTTAAAGAAAAAAAAACAAAATTGGTGGGTTCATTTTTTGTGGAGGATGAGGAGGAGGAGGAGGAGGAAGAGAAGAAGAATAAAGGAGAGAAAACAAAGAGGAAAGTATACAGCGGAGAAGCCAAAAGAGAAAAGGTGAACAGAGCCGAAAAGCCGGTTATTGTTGAATATTAATTTGCAAAAGCAAAAACGATAAAAAACAAAAGACTCTACTTGTTTGCTATGAAAAAAAAATATTGGAAAACCAACGGGATGATTTTTAAGTGTGTTAGGAAAACTAAATTTGATGATGACAATTGATTAAGGAAAAAAAAAAAGAAAGAACAAAATGGGGGTAAAAAAAAACGATTTTTTTATCAAAGAGTGATAATATTGAAAAAAATTTTTGAAAACAAATTTAGGTGAATGATGATTGTTATAAGAAATAAAATAATAATAATAATAATAATATTACGTGTTAGTGATATCTTATAGTGAATAGAATTAGCCATTGTTTTTTCTTTCCTGTTATTTCACTTCCAATTTCCAGATTAGCTTTTCCGATGCTTTCCATATTTGACAACTAGCAATCCGGTGTTGTTTTTTTTTGTAACTCCCAAAACATAGATAACTATTGACATCTATCATTTATATGTGTTAGCATTGACTGTATGCTTAATAATAATTTAGATAAAAAACACTGTTGTTGTTTTTTTTTTTTTTTTTTTT